GATGGAAAGTAAATGGTTAGTCTCTTGCTTTGTCAATGTTAGGTAACATTAAATTGAAAAGAGCTATTAAACACAACTGAGCTAAAAGAACAATTTGAAAAAGTTAATTTGAAAATAGCTTAGAACTTGTTTTTTAAAAGTAAATAAACATTTGTCATTCTCATTGTCCCCAAGGCAATAACTTGAATTTATTTCACAGGAGACAGCTATGATATTGAAACCTTTCTAGCCTTGGTACAGATGACAACCATAACATTGTCTGTTCCCTCCACCCTTCTCCCAAGTATTGGTCTTTTCTCTTTAAAAAACTTCTCCTGAAGCTGTCAAGTACAACTCATTTCCATTTTTTTGTTTATTTACTTCATTGATCTGAGCATTAAAGATAAGAAAGAAACAAGTGTTGAAACTATTTACGTAAGTTGTGTTTAAAGAGTGTGTTAATAAAACTTCAAGTTGAATATAGTCTTTTTGTTCATTCTTTGGTAGTAAAGAGCTTCCAGAACCCAATTGTGTAGTTCTGAAATACTCAAGTGTTATAGTGGTGGTGCAGCTGAAAAAGATTTAAATGGACTTAATTTTTGAACTTTCTGAATTGTAATGATTAATTGCAGTGCTGGTGTAAAGCACAGTGGCTGACATTTCAAGTTTAAGTAAACCATGGCTAACACTTTACAATGGTTACGGAACCCATTTTGAGAAATGTATTTTAGGAAGTGGCAGAGTTTAAACTATGAAGGTTACATGCTTGCATTGTTATTAAAGACAAATCTGAAGTGCCAGGCAGTTTCAGGTTTTAAAAATACTTAACAGTTTGAAAAATATTATTGTAGTCACTGTGCTAAATAGAATTGTTTAAAGAAATGAATGAAAAAGGTCAAATACTCCTGATTTTGATTTACCCATCTGTCAACGAGTTTGAAATTTTAATATACCTCCAAAACTTGCAGCATTTCTGTTGGTTTGTTTTTTATCATAACCACTTTATTTCCACAGAAATTGATGCTAAATGTAGAGGGTTTGGTAATACTTCTTTTTATTCTATCTTTTTAAGCAAATATTTTAAATAAGAGTAGGAAATAGAAGTGCAGAGGAGTTCAGTGTTCTGGTGGTTTGGATTATGTCCTTTTATTTTTTGCTTTAAATAGCATCGGCCAAACAAGAAACAGTCTGAAAATGGTCGATGCTGACACTTTAGATATAAAAGTAGATGCAGTCTTCTAAATTGGGCAATTTAGAACATTATAGGCAAAAAATGACAGTATAAGTGTGTGTTTATATCACCTAGCTGTGATCAAAATATGAAGTGCTTCATAATATGTGAATGAATAGGTTCAAGTGCTTGTCAGCCTGAGTGCTAACAACCTGTACACAGGCACCTTTCCCCAGTTACTCCATTGTATTCATTGGGCTTTCTTAGATATTAAAATTTCTGAAGTAGGAAAAAGCCCTAGTCATTTTTTTTTAAGAGAAAAAACCCTACAATTTTGTGGTTAATAAACCACCTTAAAATTATGGTAAATGTACTTTTAGTTATATTTTCTGCTCTCTACTCATAGGTCTGAGAGAAAGACGTACAGAGGATCTAGCATTGTGGCAGCCAGTGGTTTGAAGGGCCATTTTTTCATTTGTAAAGAATATGTGCAAAAGATCGGTTTGCAGACAAGGCACCTTTGCTTCTCCCTTGCTCTTCTGAGGTGTGCTATGGGTTGGGGCTTTTCCCTCCCTGAATTTTAAAAGGTGTGTGCTAGGAATTGATGCATACAGAAAATATCTCCCAAAGTTAATGTTTGCTGCAACCAGAGAGTGCAGAACTAAGCGAGTGCCACTTTTTAGGTTGGCCTTGCAACTGTGAGCTGACTTTAATGGGGCAACCAGTTACCATGAGCAAAAGGAGGAGTACGATGACAGCTTCCTCATGGGGTCTTCTTACCCAGGGGGGATGCACGTGTTGTTCAGACCATTCCCCCTGAGGAGACTGCAGAATTGCAAATGTTAGAATTTCTGCACGCTTTTGAGGCTTTTTTTTTTTTTAAAAAAAAAGGATCTCATTTTCTTTTGAGGGGTTAATCTTACTGAAGTTATGGCAGCTCCTAACTTTCACTCCTGTTAACAAGGTTTAGATAAGCGCTGGTCCTTGTTCATCTTGCCTGGGATTTTTACCTTGCAGTGCAGTAATGAGTGTGTTAGGGAGAAGCAGAAAACTCTCTCCATCCCCTTCCCCCTCCTTGCATGACTGCACCCAGCCACCACTGATGCTTCATGAACGGGGAATTACAGCTCCTAAATTTGACATTGTAGACATAACTGAAAAGATTAACTTTTAGGGTTGTGACTGTGAAAATGTCTGCTTCTCCTTATATGTTTAAGTTTGGGTAAATATTTTGCAATCTGGGAAGATTTAAGAAAGTCCCAAACAGAGTGAATAGCCAACTTGTAATTGGAAACAACTGCTTGGAGAATTTTGTTACTGCTTTACATTTAAAAGAAGTTAGGTGCTGTAAATGTGTGCTTTCTTTTCTCCATTAAAAACTCTGTTTAGATCATTTAAGAATTATTCTTAGGTAACTGAAACAGGCCAGTCCACTTTTGGTAGCCAAACCATGTGAAGGCTTTAAAACTTTGCTAGAAAAATATCAGGGTAAATACCAGTGCAAACACACCTGGATTAGTATAGCTTGCCTGTGAAAATTTTTTATTATTTTTCTAATGACTACGTGTAAGATTCCACTAGAGTGGGTGGGTCAAGCTTTCTGCTCCCTCTTTCCTTTTCCCCATCCAGGGAATCTGGTAAACTAAGTAAATCTCAGTAGTTAGCGAAGGGGCTAAGTTTTTTGAAAACTGGGCAGAGGTGATTAAGGCTGTGATTCTGTCCCCAGCTGGCTCTGGCACTTGCTGGACTTTCTGCCGAGCTGGTTTGGTGTGCTAAGCCAACAAAAATCTAACCTGACCAAAAAACATCGTTAAATAATACCAGCTAGATTGGGTCAGGCCATCACAGAACCAGAACCTGTGTGTGTTGCAGAGGGATAGGTCTTCAGTACAGCTGTGTACAATTTTGTCCATCATCAAGAAAGCTTATGGCTAAAGGGCAAATAAATTAGAGGAAAGGTATGTGACTTGCTGCAAGTTCCAGATACTAAATACCACTTACGCACAGCCGAGAATCTTTATGTTTAGTATGTGCATGCACGCAAAAGCGTGCATCTATCAAGCTGTTCAATAAGTTTATCCTTGTGTACCTTTGAAATGTACATTTTAGTTTCACGTTAAATACAAGTTGTTAGTTATTTCCTTTTATTTTAATGTCTTATAGCAGTGCACTCAAAAATTTATGCTGAGCCCGTGTCATCCTTTTATGTTAACTAGAATGGCTTTACTGGGTCAGACTTGAAGTATCGGTTTGTCCAGTATCCCCCTTCTGATTGTAAATAGTAAATTCTGACAGCCAATAGTAAATGTATAGGGAAGGGAATAGTAAGGAGGAGCGCTGCATCATCATTCCTGAAGACCCTTCTAAATATCTGCAGCTTAGAGATTTTTGAGCCAGATGTGAGTTTAAAAGCTCTTCATGGAGCTTGCATTTGACCAATTACTTTCTGAATCTTTAAATTTTTGGAACTCATCCCCACAAGATGTTGTAGATGACAAAGTTCAACTACATACTATGTGCAAAAAGTACTTTGGCGTAGTTTGTTTTTTGAACCTGCCCCTTAATAATGTCGACTGCTGCTCCCTAATGCTTGCATTTGGAAAATAGTTGCGCTTTATTTATCTTCTCCACGTCACCTATAATTCTGCACTCATCTGTTCTGTCCTGTGTGGTCACTTTTTCCAGGCTGAGCAGTCCTAGTAGCATATTTCTGATTTTACTGTATCTTTTTAGACAGGGGGAGGCCCAGTTGCATACATTAGTACATATGTGGGTTCACTGTGGATTCATACAATAGAGTGTGTTTTTGTTTTGGCTCTCTAGTTCTTTCTGAACAATTCAGTTTCATTTGTTTTATGATAGCTATTGAGCTGGTGTTTTCACTGAACTGCGTGACTCCATGGGAGATCTTTCCTAACAGATAGAGATCCATTGCTAGGTGCATTATTTTGCATTTACCAGTACTGTATTTCTGCTGTTCTCTTGCACAATCGCTCCATGGTAAGAGTGTTCTGCAACTGTTACCATGGACCTGGGATGAGCTTGGGTGTTGACTTGCTACTGTGCAAAAAAGGAGATTGCTTTGGGTTCCTAAAATGCTTTTGATACAGGTGCAAGGCAGAGGACAGCAGATGAATACAAATAATTGTGGCACCATTGATAAGAAGAGCTGCAATGATCTCAAACAAGTTTGCACAAATATTCTGAAAAGCCGATAAGAAAGGCTAATAATAAAGTAGTTTTCTGATAATTTAGACCTTCTCTCAAGTTCAAGAAGCAGCATCAAAGGGAACATCAAGTGCTTGTTCGGCAATTTTACAGAGAATGGAGGCTGCCAACTGTTAGCCTATTTATGGTTAATGTCATGGAGCAAGATCGTGAGGGAAGCAGAGAAAGGGTGATGTGTTGACCATTCACGTCAGCATTTTATATGTTCAGTAGGATAAGCAAGAGGGAGTTCAGCAGAATGAGTTGTGTGTGTTCTTCTGTGTCTGTCTTCGTTTTGTTGGTATGTGCTAAGGATAACAGGAGCTTCGCATCTGACATTTCCGCACACTAAATTGGGTAAGGAGTGATTGGAGAATGAGTGGAGTCCCCAGTGTGACAGGCCACGCTGCAGAAAGGGACTCCACATTATTTTTTTCCAAGACCCAGATAGGCACTGAAATGCTTGGGAAGTTCTAAGATCTCAATCTGTTGTCTAAAACTCCACTTAAGATGTATCCTAGCCATGAAGACCTTACTTTACATAATGCTGCCAAATTTTTTTTTTAAATTGTATGTATTTTTGTTAGTTTACTAACTGGCATCTTACAACCAGGAAAAATTACATTTTTATGTACTCTTCTAGTTCTAGGTCAAATGATTAGTTCTGTGACAAGGCAGCATGACACTTTGAAGTATGACAGAAGCCCTGATGCTGCAGCAGAGGCTGGGAATATTAATGGCCAAATCTAGGTGAGTGATTTTTAATTCTGTCAGTTCCCTGGCTGTTTCATTTCTTTGTAGCCTTGGTTGACATCTCTCCTTTGAAGGAGCATTGCAGTTCTTGGTTTTCTGAAGTCATAATATTAGAATATATTCGGAGACAAAATAATGAGCTTGTGTGATTATTGTTTACATACCCTTTCTTATTTGTTCTTGAGATACAGTGGCTGTATTTCATAATCTTCATATATTGCATATTTCTACTTGCAACTGTAGTGATTTTTCCCAAACTACTTTGCAGTTAACATTTTTTATATTGTTTAAGTGTGCTGGCACCTGCCTCCAGGAGATTTGATCGATTATTTTACGCTGAATGCAAAGGAAGTCATGATACTATAACAGCATGGTGCTGTCTAGTTCTGTTTCCACTTTGTCAAAACATGTGGGGAGGTCTAAGACTGGGCTTTATTAAGTGCAAGCATCTGTGCATGAAGGCTGCTAGAAGCATCTGCAGCTGTAACTGCTCCATGGACCAGAGCTTGAAAACCTTTCCTGCAAAGGTATATATTCACTGTTAATCTGCATGGCAGCTATTTTTACATCTTGCTCTTTTTAGCAGTGAATTCTCAGAACAAAAAGGGTAGCATCAGCAGGCTAACAAGACCAACATCTGAACATTACTGTAGTGAGGCATTGTGGAGTGCCATGGTAGGAAATTAGTAATAGGTGTTAATGCTTGTATCTCCCTTTCTAAACAAAACAGGCAGAATCCATAAGCAAAAAAATGGAATAGTTAAAATAATAATGAGGTATATGTGTGAAGACTATTAAAAGTAGCTGTAATTGAGAGACTGATTGGACTGATTAACAAAATTCAAGACTTCACCATGCAAAAAAAAGAGTTGTGTGTAGCATGGTTTCTCTCTGCAACAGTACAGGCAAGCAACCAACTTCACACACACACACACCTCCAGCTCTGTCAAATTGATGCGTGTTTTCATGTTATGGCCAGAAATGACATGAGAAATCCATGATTTTGCCTGTGTTGTCTGGCGCTCTGCCTCTTTGTTACTGGATTAATCTAAGCCCTGTTGTTACCCTTTCTGTTAAGTTCTGCATTTCACCTCTGTAGGGGTTTGGTGGCAGATTTATACAAATTTATACAGTCTCTAGGGTAGCAGCATCTCTTTTGAGTGGTTTTTCTGGTCAAGAAGAGGGGAAGAGTCAGCTGCTCTTCATTGTATTCTTTGCACCTTATTTCTCAGCAGACTAAAGTGCTACTTGGATACTGCTGCTGCATGCTAATACAAATGACTGTCAAGAAAAGGAGTCCTGGTTTTCTTAAGGTGACATCTGATTTCCCCCCACCTCTTTAGTCAGGAAGAGTCATCAACCAGTTTTGTCTTCCTTTTTCTTGATTCTTAATGTCATGTCTTGTGTTGACTTACTAACTCTCTTTGATGATTTTACCCCACTTTTCATTTGTATAGTGGAAATTTTAGTTCTTATCCAATATAAAGGTCATGTAAATTGGTTAAGTTTTCTTTTTTCTGACTTTCTTGTATTTAAGAAATACAAGACCTACCACCCTCTGCAAGGTGGTAGAGGGAGGAGAAGCTGTGAGACGTGATTCTATGAACATTCCAGCCCTGGAGCAGCCGAAGCAAGGGCAGCCTTTCGGGATTGCCGGGTGGGCGTTTTGTGTTGCCTGGGCTTGGTAACCTCCTAGAGCCCTGGGCTGGCATGGGCCTCGCTGGGGCGGTGCGCAGCAGCTGAAGCTGGGGAGGGCTCAGTTAGATGGAACTGGAGGCCAAGTGGTTGCCTTGTGTCAAGGCCCTGGTTTAAGAGATGAGAGTCGCACCCAGTGAGTTGTTGGTTTTTGTTTTCCCCCAGGCTGCTACCATGGGAATTAAGGTGACAAATCACATGGGTCTGTTTGGTAGTAACCTCAAGATGAATTGTTGGTAGGACTTTAACAGCTTGGTATTGCCACTCCTTAATGCCAAAGCTAACTTAACCACTTAAAAATATTTGTGCTATTTATGTTGATTTTTTTATTACTTATGACTGCAAAATTCTTCATGAAGAATTGTCACTTCAGAGAGCAATTTGTGTTGGGTTGTTTTGTTGATGATAGTCTATTTTTACGTCAACTAAATTATCATTTGGGGGTTTTTTTGTTTCCCCTTTAGAGATCACATGGTCTTCTAAAGAAGTCATGGGTAGCTGTTGTAGCTGTCCAGATAAAGAAACTGTCCCAGATAACCATCGAAACAAGTTTAAGGTAAGCAACTGATGTGATATGCTGTGAATTATTTTGTTGCTTTCTTGCAGAACGGGTCTGTGATGGAAAAAATTTAAATGAAAATAGGGTGAGAATTACTGAATGGTTAAAACATTGCAGCCTTGCAGGTGTCTGTGGCTACATTTCTCCTGCCCCTTTGAGAAATCCTCTCTTACCAGCAGTGACAGGAATTCTCTAGACAGGGTAGGCTCTTTTTATGACAGTTTGGATTTTCAGGAAGGAGAAGCAGCCCTGTGCTCTTGGTCCATCTCCGTTTCGGTTGGTAGGGCCCAAGTAAGTGTTGTTGCTGCTGGGGGGTTATGGTAGTTAGGGAGGGAGTAGTAAGCATAAGGGAAGAGCTATTGGAGAAGTGTGATTATGAACCTGGATGTGGGGTCAGCAGTGGAAAATTTTTAGGACTGCTGATTTTACTGAAGATCACTACTGATTATAGCATTTTGAGAACTTTTGTCCTTTACTTGAAGAAATTTTATTTATGAACGTGCTTCTGTCCCTTATATCCCTGGAATTTATAAGCTTGTGAACACTTGTTCACGTGCTTAACATGCTTACCATGAAGCTGCTGAAGTCAGTGACTGTAAGTAAACATACCTTTGCATAGTCACACAAGTCAGATTTGCTGCTGTGCTCCAGACTGTCTCTGTGAGCTGGCAAAGGAATGTAATGCTTCCATAGTGAAAAATGATTCATGCATTGCCTTAGGGCAACACTGAAATGAGCTTTAAAGCCCTGGGAATTTCTGGAAATGTTTAATATTATCAGTACAGAAAGCTGAAGGATAAAATATTTTTCTGTTTTCTTCCTTTTTATGCATTTGACATCATTACTTTGTGTAACTAGTTCCTATTACTTTCCTTGTAGAATTTCTCTATTGTTTGTGTGGGTCGCTGATTCAGCAGCAGGGGGGAGAAGATGAAAGCATGAAATGTGCAAAATGAAGAAAGTTGGCATAAGCCTCAGTGGCAGATGAAACTATTCCTAATTCTTTTCAACTGACTAGATTTCAAGTTGAAAATGTCTCTTTAAGGAGTGACATTAATTGGTATCATAGGGAATATTTTTTGGTAACCTTTTTATTGAGTGAGAAAGAATCTCACTAAAAGCAGTATTGTGAGGTAAAATACATGCAGATTAAAATGTACATTTTCTGGATTCCATAACGGATGCAGATGACCTCCAAATGGTTTAGAAGCAGAAAGAATAAAAGTTTAGGCTTTGTACACATGTTTTCACGCAAAATAACCATAGGGTATTTGAATTATTTGTTGATTTTAAAAAGGCAGAAAAAAGAAAATCTGAAACAGTCTGGTGATACAGCACAGTGTAAGGCTGTGCAGGTACATGAAGGAAGCTTTATCTTGGAGCCCCTTCTCCTTTTTCATTCCTTTTTCCAACTGTAAGAGGGGTTATATGACAAAGCAAATATGTATATTTTTGTTTGTGGTGGGTTTTTTTGGTTGGGTGTGGTTTTTGTTGTTGTTGTTTTGGTTTTTTGTTTTGTGGTTTTTTTTTTTTAGAAACAGGGCTCTGAAAGATTCCATTAGCTGAGAGTATGCCTTATCTGTGCGGAAATACTAGAATATGTATATAAAGACAGTTTATAAAAAGGTCAAATTAAATTTATGAATCTCTTCAATTTTAAACTTCTCAGATTTATAATAATGTTATGCAGTTTCATTCACATTGCTTTTAAATATGTATTATTTTAATTCTGGGTTGGGGGAGCAAAGGAGCTGGTTTGGTGAGTTTGGGTTTTGTTTTTTTTTTTTTTTTAATTTTACCTTAAGGATTGTAACTCATATGACAGAGCAGATGGAACATATCAGTGAAACATTAAGATTATTGGTAGTGGTATTGGTGCTCAAAAGACTACTTACCTAATGCTATTTAACTTCCTTTTTATAGGTTATTAATGTGGATGATGATGGTAATGAACTGGGTTCTGGTATAATGGAACTTACAGATACAGAACTAATTTTGTACACCCGTAAAAGGGACTCTGTAAAATGGCACTACCTCTGTCTCCGTCGCTATGGCTACGACTCAAATCTTTTCTCTTTTGAAAGTGGCCGAAGGTGTCAAACTGGACAAGGTATGTGGAATTTTTGTATATAAAGCTTTTTGGAAATTTATTTGATGTTGGAAAACTATTTTGGTTTTGGTTTTTTTTTTAAAGTATATTTTCCTGTCCTTTTGCAAGGGTTATAAAGGCTACAGTTTTATATGTGAATGTGGTTTCTGGGCAAAAAGTTATCTTATGAGGAATGGTCTTATGGTAAAATGAGGATTTGAGTTACACATGGTTTTTTCGCATTGTAGGTCTGGAGCACTTCGTGCTTGTGTGCGTGGATACTTCTGGTCAACTTAGGAGGTGGTTTTGACATAGGAGTTCTCTTACCTCAGAGGTTGACATGACTTTCAGGGAGAGCAGTGAAACCTGGAACTGTGGAGGAATCTCCTTAGAATTCAAAGAATTCTCTATTTTTTAGATTTTTAAAAGACTGGAGCGCTGATACGAACTGGATAACCCTACCCTGTTATTGTCTTAACACACTTGTTTCATCATCTTCCTAAAACAAATAACCACTTTCATTTATATCAATGACGTTATTCTCAAATTTTGACACGTTTTTGTATGAAGTGTGTAAACTCCAGCTCTGGTCAGTTATTTGCTGTGTGGCTTTAATTGGAAAAATATGATTACCTTTCCAGTTCCCAGATCACGCCTGCCTTGGCGAAGGTTGGCTCCCAGTGAGAAGATCTAGGCTTCTCTCTCTCTGTCTCTCTCTCTCTGTCTCTCTCTCTCTGTCTCTCTCTCTCTGTGTCTCTCTCTCTGTGGTCTCTCTCTCTCTGTCTCTCTCTCTCTGTCTCTCTCTCTCTGTCTCTCTCTCTCTGTCTCTCTCTCTCTGTCTCTCTCTCTGTCTCTGTCTCTCTCTCTGTCTCTGTCTCTCTCTCTGTCTCTGTCTCTCTCTCTCTGTCTCTCTCTCTCTCTCTGTCTCTCTCTCTCTCTCTGTCTCTCTCTCTCTCTCTGTCTGTCTCTCTCTCTCTCTCTGTCTCTCTCTCTCTCTCTGTCTCTCTCTCTCTGTCTCTCTCTCTCTGTCTCTCTCTCTCTGTCTCTCTCTCTCTGTGTCTCTGTCTCTGCCACTGCAGCGGTCCCTGAGGGAATAGCTGCTGTGGTTGAGGTGTCGGACTCGTTTTGCATCTTTGTGGTGTAGCTGTGTGTAGTTGCAATTTTTATGTATTCCATGTTGTGAAATTAAGTTGCATTTTTATTTTCTTACAGATTTTTAGCATTTACTAGTGTTTTTAATCAATAAAGATACTTAGCAATTGCAATTTTTTTTTAATTTCACTGTAAAAAAATCAGAAGGTGAAAGAACTTGATCATAAACAAAGCTGGTCAGTCTTCATTGTCCAAGCAGAGGTAATGGCAGACAGGGTTTTTTTGATAAGAGTTTAGAAGGCATTCTCCATTCATCTCCTAATGAGAAATAGAGATGTTTTAAAATGTTACAGTACACTCCATACTAAACTAAATTTTCGGACTTCTGTGGAGAAAATAATAAACTTTGTTTTGAAGAAAATCACTTTAACTGATTTTGCAGGTTTAATTTATTGCTGCTTCTAAACTTGTAAAACAGATACTAATAAAATTCAATTGAAAATACGGTTTTGAAGGTTCTTTTCCATGGCCTATCAGCAAGTCTGCAGAATTTTCCACCGAGTCTAATTGACTTCTCTGCTTCCCCCCTAGTTTGTTTTTTGGTTGTGTGATTGTTTTTTTTTGTGGTTTTTTTTTTTAAATAGAGAAGATTAAGCAGGCTATGTGAGCAGCAACCCTTTCCTCCGTCTTTTGTTTCTTGCCTTCCTTACATAATATTAAAATACTGCAAATACAGAGAAAAAGAAATCTGGCAGAAGATGTTCCCTCTGCTGCCATTTTGCAATGGAGCATTGTTCCCGGGACCTACACTGGGTTTTGTGGGCACAGTTACAAAACTTCATCTCATTTGGTGAGATGACAGAAGTTTTTCATTTGAGAATACCGTGAATACTGTCCATCAGCTTTTACTGATTGCATTACTTAATCTTCTTGTTTGTGTTTTCCATTTGATCTCAAATTATATGGCAAAACATTAAGTTTGTGCTAGGCATTAAAAACCTTGAAGACATGTTTTGGGAGCACAGCTAATAGATAATTCAGGATAGAAAACTTGGAGGAGCTGGTGCATTACCATACTGTGTGACAGATCACATTGTATTTAATGTGAATGTATTTAATAAAAAATCAAGGTTTCATCAAGTTGTTTTTGCTTGCAGCTTCTGTGCCAGTTTGATTCACCTCATATTTTAAGGAATCAGCATTTTGGAAGCCCTTTATTTAAACAAAGGGGTAAAAGCAGCTGAACTTCTCAGAAACATACTGGCAACTTTTTAAAGCTTGTGAACATAGATTTTTTTTTTTTTTTAAATTTATTTTTTGTCCATTAAGTATCCAGAGTGAATTTTCAGAAATACACAAAAAATTAAACATGGACTGTTGTACTTGAGCTGGATCGTGGGTTGGGGAAATGTAGTAGAAGCAGCTCTACAGCTGCTGTGTTGCAAGCATGAAGCTTATTCACTGCACCAGCTGAATATTAATTGTTGAGCGTCATTCCTCTTATCCCATTTGGTGTCTTCCCAGCTGGGTTTTTGTGATCTTCTACCATGTGGAGCATTTCTGGTAGTTCTGATCTGTCACAGTTCTGCATCCTTAAATAAATATATGATGATAGTAATTGCCAGCATATTAACATAATTGCACTTACAGAACTAGCTATATAGGTAGGTAGTTTTTCATAAAGAGTGTTTTAAGATTGTAATACTCATTTTAAAAAATGAGCACCTGACCCGCGTTTAACAAGCATGTCAACTTTAACTTTATGCTTTCAATGGAAGAATAATCCAAAGCTGCGACTTTGCTGGTGAGGGTAAGTTGGGGCGCTCCCTGCTGTTTAAAGGCAAAGTGGCACAATACACACACAAAATACATGGTATTGCTGCTAACTTTGTGTTCTGTGTCTATCCTTTAGCCTAAAGCAATTGGTTTGTTACTGTCCGTTTCACACAGTTTGTCCTACTAGCTTTTCATTTTAATCTTCTTAAAGAAACTAAACTTTTACCCAGTGTTTAAATCCTTCTTTCCTGTTGTGCAGGTATCTTATTTCTGTGGTAATTTAATAGAAATGTGGTTTAAAAAATATGGCCTTGTAGCACCACAGTAGTTTCATTTAGTGTTTTTTAAAATTTATCAGCTTGAAAGAAAGAAAAAATCTTGCCCTGTTATGTGGTGTTTTTATTTGAACCCCTCATTTAGCACTCAACTTAGTTTTGCTCTTACCTGAATCAGTTTTCTGTTCTAATTTAAATTTTGGTGCATGAGAATCTTACTCTTCTATTAGGCAAACACTTTAAAGGTTCTCACAGTAATTTTGTGTGCTATGGTGCAATAAAAATTTCTTAACATTTTTGCTTCTTTAACAGGTATTCTTTACGTGGATTCCAGTTGTATTCTTTGAAAGTTATTTACATTGTAAGGCATGTTTCTTACGTTAAAGGATTTTGATTTTTGTTTTGTGTATTTATAGGAATCTTTGCCTTTAAATGTGCCCGTGCAGAAGAGCTATTTAATATGTTGCAAGAGATAATGCAGAATAATAGCATAAATGTGGTAGAAGAACCAGTAGTAGAAAGGAATAATCATCAAACTGAGTTGGAAGCTCCAAGAACCCCTCGAACACCTACTAGTAAGTATGGTTATATTGTCAGATGACATACCTGAATGTAATGTTGTACTTGGCTGAAAATAGCATTTGATTTGCATTAAATCATTAAGTAATTAAAAAGAAAACTAGTTTAAAGCTAAGAAGCTAATTACCAGTAACGCATTCTCTTGAGGTACTTGCTGAGGATTCTCTTTTGAGAAGCCTAAGTCTTGGGAGCAAAACTGCCATAGTCAAGTTCTTCAGCTTTAAAAATAAGTTTTGGGAACTCAGTTGTTGCATAACAACTTATGAACTCTTAGGAACACACCTGTTGAATTGCTTTGTAATATATCACCATATTTTACTTGTAGCATTTCTGAGAAATGTTAATGTTGGGTAATCTTCCAACCCTTTTATTGGGCAAAAAAGTAATGGTAATACCACACCTACAGTGGGTTTGGAGTCTTTCTTTTGCTGTGAGTAGATGGATGGGTAAAGTGAAGTCTTTCTGAAAATACCAGAGGATTTTAAGATGGTAGATGGCTTGATATTTGAAACTAGGAATTCCAGGTTACTGACGATTTCAGAGAAATGGACGCTTAAGTATAGAAGTCCTTGTTTGTTAGGGAGACATGTTCTTAAAGGTAGAAAGAGAAGTTGAATAGGGAGTTTACTGGGACGACTGCGATGTATACACCTAGATTTCGGTGGTAGCTTCAAACATGTTTTGCAGTAAACACTGGGATGCTATACTCTGCAATTTGCTTTCCCTTTCCTTCCCCCCAGCAAAACTCAGTCATGTGAATATTTAACACTGTTTTACATATTTTTATCTTTTGAAACTCGAAAATGAAGATATAAAGCATCTTATATACAGTAAAATGTTCTATTTTAATATGGCTTTGCCTGTTTTCCAATTGAATCAGCTCCTGGGTTCAATGCACAAAGTTTACCTAACGGCTATCCCAGATATCCATCTTTTGGAGATGCTTCATCACATCCTTCCAGCAGACATCCTTCTGTCGGAAGTGCACGCCTCCCCTCTGTCGGTGAAGAATCAACGCATCCTTTACTTGTAGCAGAGGAGCAGGTGGGTATTTCTTTTGCCCCTCTATAATTTAGGTTCTACATTAGTTCAGATTTTTGTAATGTTTATTCTGGAGGCTTTCATTTGTGTTTCTCAGTATGATACAGTGTAATGTATTTCTACCATACGTTAACTACCTCAGAAAAGTGTTTGTTTTGTCTCTTTAAAATGATACTTTGTAGGATAGCTTGCTGAGGAAGAGTATTTTAAGTTGCTCTTTGTATTCATATACAAATAAAGATCTAGAAAGTGTATATTTGCATATATTCTTTTATCAAAATTCAGTAATTCTTTTTACACACATAAATTGTATTTTATAATGAGAGATCCTGATCAAAAAGCTTCTTTACATGTATGTCTTCGATTTGGCAAATAGAAATCATGGAATAATTTAGGTTAGAAGGGACCTCTAGAGTCCTCTAGGTCAAATTTTAAAGTTAGGGAAGGCTGCACAGAGACTTGTCCTGTCATGCTTTGAATACTCCAAACAAGGGGATTTCACAGTGTCTCTGAGCCATGTGTTCCAGTGTTTGACCACCTTTATGGCGAAAGCATTTTTCCCTAATATGTAATCAGATTTTTTCCTGTTACAGCTGGTGTCTGCTGCCCCTTAGCCTTTTGCTGAACATCTCTAAAAATAGTCTGGCTTTGTCTTTTTTTTATCTATTAGATAACTGAAAACAGCTATTAGGTTGTTTCCTGTTCTCTTAAGACTGAACAAGGATGGCGCTCTCAGCTTATCCTTGTATGTCACGTGCTCCAGCCCCTCTAATCACGGCCCTCCACTGGATTTGCTCCACTATAGTGGTGTCTGTCTTGTACTGGGGACCCCATTACTCCAGATTAATTCTCACAAGTGCTGAACTGACAGTAATAATCGCTCTCCTTAACCTACTGGCTGTGCTTTTGCTAACACAAACCAATGCATGTTTGGTTTTCACTGCTGTGAGGGCACACTGCTGACTCGCATTCAACTCACCATCCACCTGGACCCCTGGTGCTTTTCTGCAAGGCTGTTTGCAAGTCAGTTGGTGCCCAGCCTGTACTGTTGGTATTGTTCCATGCCAGGTATTGGACTTTGCATTTGCTGTTGCAGAACTTCATGAGGTTTCTGTGAGGTCACTTCTCCAGGCTGCTGGAATCTCTCTCAGTGGAAACTCTGCCAATCTGGGATAGACTGAAAACTTTCAGAGGGTGTGTTCTATCTCATCATTCAGGCTGCTGATGAAAATGTTAGTCAAGTTTAAGAAAATGTAGTGTGGTTTAGGAAGACTCTGTGTGACCAGAAACAGTGTTGGAAACCAGAGAAGCTAACCAGAGCAAAGTGCAGTGAACTGTGTTGTGGGAGAGGATTTGTTAGGAGCCCCCCACAAAAGAGTCCAAGTGGTGTTGTTTGAGTTACTAAAGAGTAAATGAGTTTAAAGAATCAGTGTAGGTGTCCAGTGAGCTGTAAATAACACTTCAGCTTGTAGAGCTTGACAGAGAAGTTGGGATGGCTAGATGACTGCTGCTGTAAAATACTGCTTTTGCTGTTTGAGTATCCAGACACAGAATTCAAATTTGGAGAAGGTTATCTGTTACTTCAGTCTTTCCCATTTAGCCTTGTGTTGATCTACTGTGGGAACTTGGAGGGATAACCTAGTGGTGTATTCCTGTCTTCCTTAGTGGTGTCTGGTGCCAACTCCTGCTCCTTTTTAGTTCTGAGTGCCACAGTTCATACGGAATTTTATATTTTTCTACTTTAGTTTCTGGTATTAGGAGGCTGTTGGCTCTTGAAGAAAGAATGGACTGTTCTTCCAGTAGAGCTAACTTCTCTTCTTGTTGCTTAAGTAGTACACAAGGCAAGATCGTGGCTTTTTTGGTTGTTTTTGGTTTTTAAACGGACAGTGAATTTCCTTTGCAGTGTGGAAATTGCAAAGATAAATTTAGCCAAAGCAACTCTTGAACTGTTGGTCACTGTCATGGTAAGGGACAACAAGGTAGGTCTCTGCTTCACTAACGTGTCCAAGTAAACTAATGAGCTAAGCTGGAGCAGCCCAAGGTTGTCCTGACCAGAGCAGAGCTGGAGTAGAACCTGAAAAGCTGTAACTAGAGCACAACTGAGATAAAACATCAAATCAAAATAACTGTTAACACAGGATGTGAATTCTATTCTTATGTTAGAGTAACATTAACAAAGCCAACAACAAAATTTCAGGGGAAAAAAACCCCAAACTGAGCACAGTTCAGCAAAACGTGACAGAGATGACCTTTGCTTTTAAACAGCTGCTATCCACGAGCTTTGGTTTTCAGGTATTTTGATGAGAAAACTGGTGAGTTAAGAAGGAGAGGAATTTGGAGGGGGGGGGGGAAAGCACCAATAACATTTTAATTTTCTTTTTTTTCTTCCCTGTTTAGGTGCACACTTATGTCAACACTACTGGGGTACAAGAGGAAAGAAAAAACCATTCAAGTGTGCATGCACCACTGGAATCAAAGCTTTCAAACACTGAAACAACTAAAGTGAAAGAAGATCAGATGTGTACTGATGACAGAGATGCTCAGGTTCTCCTGGAGCCTGAAGGAGTGAAGTTTGTTTTAGGACCAACACCTGTTCAAAGGCAGTTAATGGAAAGAGAGAAACTGGAGCAACTTGGGAGAGACCAAGTTAGTGGCAGCAGCACAAACAACACTGAATGGGACACTGGGTACGACAGTGATGAACGTAGAGAAGCACCATCTGGTAATAAATTGGTGTATGAAAATATAAATAGGTTATCAATCCCTAGTGCCTCAGGGGTCAGGAGAGGTCGTTTGACATCAACCAGTACCTCTGACACCCAGAATGTTAACAACTCTGCTCAGAGGAGAACTGCGCTGTTGAACTATGAGAACCTGCCATCCTTGCCTCCTGTCTGGGAAGCCCGCAAGCTGAGTAGAGATGAAGATGACAGTTTAGGACCAAAGACCCCATCTCTGAATGGCTACCACAACAACCTAGATCCCATGCATAATTATGTCAATACAGAGAATGTAACAGTACCAGCAAGTGCTCATAAAGTAGAATTTACACGACGTCGGGACTGTACCCCAACAGTCTTTAACTTTGACATTAGGCGTCCAAGTTTAGAACACAGGCAGCTCAACTATATACAGGTTGACTTGGAAGGTGGTAGTGACTCCGACAACCCTCAGACTCCAAAAACCCCCACCACTCCACTTCCGCAAACTCCAACCAGGCGCACAGAGCTGTATGCTGTGATAGACATTGAAAGAACTGCTGCTATGTCGAGCTTGCAAAAAGCACTGCCCCGAGATGATGGTACTTCTAGGAAAACTAGACATAACAGTACTGACCTGCCTATGTGAGCCTGGGAAGCATTAAATCATTTGCACCTTTTGTGAAGTTTATAAAATTGAAGATGCAAGTACTTTGCATTTCTTAACACTAACGCCTTTTATAGACTAATAGAAATTTTTCTGCATACTTCATGTACTTGTCTAACTAAAGGGAATTAATGTAGAGCAAGTATTCATTTAGGTAACACTATTTCATTCTACGGTAGTAGTAATTACTGCATAGCAGCATCGCCACCTTTCACAGTGCCTCTTTAAATTGATTAGAGTCTTGAGTGACATGCCAGTTTTGAATTTAGAAATATTCTTGTCTGGTGCCTATACTCATTAATGGCATTTATAACACTTTTTAAAGCCTCTTGATATGTGCGTTATTAGCAGGTAAACCTAATCTTTCAAGATATGTATCTTACATTCATTCCTCACTGAAGTTGCTCCTCCAGAACGAAGTGTATGTAATGCATTAATTCACTCAGTTTGACATACACAAGGTATATTGGTTCATCTCAAGGGATATAAACACCACACCTTTTGTCTGTGCTTGTGTGTGTTTTTTATTTTTAAGACCACATGGGCAAGAAGGCCTCTGATAGTTTTCTTAACTTGATTATTTGAGAGGTCACATCCAAGTTTGTTGATCAGAGCTATGAACACATCTAAACCCAGCCTTAAGCTCCTTCCACTAGAAGAGAATTCCAAGTGGCGTATCAAGTTCCCTGTGAAATCTGACAGAATTTTGATCTCATTAGAGTTTTGGAGGTTTTTTGTGAAGGAATTCACAGGTTGGCTGTATGAATTAAGGCTCTCTTGTCATTTCTTAGTTCAGTGTGCCTTCCTTTCTTTGTGTGTTTCTTTTTTATGTGTTCCATAATGTCTTGTTTTAAAAGTCAAAATTTTGTACATAGCTTTAATTATTGTTCAGGGTCATTTATGTGTTTGTCTTACAGTCTGCATTTGACAAAGAAAGACTCTTGAAGGTCAAATGGTTGTCTTTGTCCGGTGTTCTACTTTTTCATGCCTGACAGGAATATCCCAGCTCTCTAGCAGCATGCAGTATTGCACAACTGGAAGGGTTTATTATGCAGTTATTGTCTTCCTCTAAAGCATCAGACACAGGTTACACGGGAGGCAGGGTACTGGACTTGATAGTTCTTTATAGAAGATTGTACGTTCTAGCAATGTGCATCCATATTTGATAGTGTACTTTAATTTAGAAAGATTTGTAGTAAATTATCTGAAGGTAGTATTATCTTCAAACATACTTCTTTCCCTTCTGCAGTTGGTGGTTACAGTGATGGCTGCTCAGTGTTACAGGTCCATCCAGGTAGAATGTTGTTTGTTGGATATGCCAGATGCACCCTTAGCAGAAGTTTTTGTTGTGGTGTTTTGTTTTTTGGTTTTTTTTTTTTTTTTTTAATACTCAGAATAATTTTAGAATTCTGGCAGTATTGCAGGTGCACGTTGGTGCTAGCAGCAGCAGAGATTACTCTTGAGCCTGTGATTGCAAAGGAACTGACACTTGTGTGAACTGGTGTGATGTAAAATAACCCTTCAACTGTGAGTGAGCAAAAACATGCAAGAAAAGCCATTTGGGGATATGAAAAAGAATTAAGGGTCTTCATGCAATATTTGAAGTTTTGTAAGAAACAAACTACAATTATTTTCACTCTTTTAAATTGGAGTGTATTCCTATTCCTTTGTTAGCTTCTTCTTTGGTCTTCTCTCACTTTGGTAGTGGCAGCAGTAGTAGCACCTGAAATACAGGTGTCTTGCCACACCTTTGAGGGACATCAGGCAGCCGTCTCACTCTGACTGTCATTATTCTTGATGGACTGTACGGTACTGAAATACCAGATGCATAAAGAACATAATTTGCAGAAGTAAAAGATGGGAGTCATTGAGACCATTATGAGGAACTTAAATGAGATTAATGAGGTTTTTTTGATGATTTCATGGTCAACCTATGCATACTCTTGTGATAGACTCGTTGACTTCTGGAGAGACCTTGGTACTCAAGAAGGCAGTGACTACCTAGAGCCACACATTGTACAGGTCTGCAGTGTTAGTACTCCTGCACATCTTTGCCATTGCCTTACCTTATACTATGGACCACTCTTGGTCTGTACAGAAGAGAAATTACCAGGTATTGCAAAATACTTACTGGGTTAATGATACTGGTGTGATTCTTGTTCTTAGCTTATAGCTCACTTAAATTTGTGAGCCGAACTAACTCTTTGGCATGTGTTTTGACACAAACGTGTTTGATCTACCTAGCTGCCTAGGAATATTTGGTCCTCATCTGTATAGTATGGGTGTTTTGGAAATACTTAATTGGACCCTTAAAAGCCACCTGTGAGGCAGGGAAGTAGTATTCTTAATTGACAAAGAGGGAAACAGAGGCTTCAGGTAGATCCTAAGTGACCTGCTGAAATGACAGCCAGCCATACCCCTCCTTAGTTCCGGTGCACTGTCCTCTGCGTTTACCCTGAATAGTCCCAGATACAAGGGATGGTCTGAGTAATTTTTTTATGTTGCAAGTTTCACCATCCTTCATAGGGGGTGTTTTCTTAGCTCTGGTCCCCAGAATTGAGAACATACTGAAATGTCAACTTTCTGTAGCCTTAACTAAATTAACAAGTCCGATGACATATTTTTCCAGGACTATTTTTTTTATTCTCTTATACTTTACAGGTGGGATAATGCTTTCCCTGTTTTGTGTACGCTGCAAACTTCCTGGGTAGTCTCTGTTACCCGTGCTACTCATCTTGAGCATTCCTTATTTTCTGCCCCTGGAAGTAGATGTAGTTGCAATGCACTTTACCCTTTGAGACTTGGTAAATATTTTTTCAGTTCAGTCTCTTTTAAAGGCTGTGATGTTAGGTTTACTGCCTGTAATCTAGGATTCAGCTTTCAGCTGAAATCTCTCCACAATATTTAGATCATATTTATTTTGGGCCCACAGGTGTATAGTCTGAGAAACTACAGATATGTAACCATTTTCTTTAGTAACTGAGACATGTTAAGTTTACATAAACTAGGTCCTGCAAAAATATCAGCATCTCCATCAGTTCTATTTCTCATCCGTAACATGCAGTTGGCTGCTACCCTGCAAGCACATTTGACAAGGGAAAGCCTTTAACTGTAGGTACTCCTTTAATGCAGTGATTTGGGAAAGATATACATTAGTGTATCTTTTAAACAAGGAAACTAAGTTGATAAAAAAGATGAAACAGTGACCAAAAGTACATAGTAAAGATTGTACTAGAAATACAGTGAATGGAAATTTAATCCATTGGTTATGTAAGGATTTTTTTTTTCTCAATTTGATGTCAACAGGAGGACGAATTTTTTTTAATTTTGTGATGTTTCGTGGTGACTCCATAAAACAATATAAAAAAAGACCATTCTGAAAACCTTAACTCTCATTAGAATTTTTTTGTTTCCCCCGATAGGTACGTTTTGCATATGACAGGGGTTGAATGTAATGGTGTACATTGAAGCACTATTCCTGTTACTATTAAAGTCTACAGAACTTTTACAGAAATCTTCAGTGTTCAAACAGACATTTCATATCATCAACTGCTTAATTCCAACACTCCACTCCCCAGATGTTTTGATATTAGTGTGTGTGTGTTTACACCTCTGACCAGGGCTTGGGTGTGAAAAGGACCCCAGAAAGGTGTAAGCTGTACAAAGGCCAAATCAGTGTCAAAACAGGGCTGCTCTTCTGCAGGTGACAGGCCAGCAGTTGATTTTGCTGGTTTTATAACAGTGTGTGTTGGCTTATAAAACCAGGATAGTCAGATTTTTATTTACCCACTTCTCAGTGAGACAGAGTCAGGGGAGAGGAGGTTGTCTCTGTTCGCTGTTGGCGAAGTAAAAATGCAAGTTCTGATTAATGTCAGTTACTACTTTGAGCATATAATGATGGATCTGATTTGGACCTCTGTTTCTAAGCAGTGTTCTCCTCTTTGTTTAAGCTGGGATCAATGGTGAAATTCCATTTCTGCACTGCACTAATTCATTTAATGGCTGCAAAGAAGGTGAAACTGATTTAGTAGGAACTAATAGTGGACTTAAATCTGAAATTCTCCTGTTTCCCCTGAATAAGTTTGGTCCTTCAGTTTGATAGATAGAATTAGGTAATTTTGGAATTTAATGATCTTTCCCATTTTTTTCCTTGAGGTAGCAATTCAGGCATTTATATTTGACAGTATTTACTTAATATAAACATCAGTTCATTTATGATATTGTTATTGTAAATTCATATACACTCCAAAAAAAAAAAAATCCAGAAGAAATTCCACCACAAAAAACTGCGTTAAGATGGAGTCAAGGTTGCTGGTGTCCTTCTTGCAGAGCATGTATGAAAAAGATAGGAAGCCATGAGTTAAGGTTCTTTTGCAATCTTTAGGAATTACTTCCTCTTTTGGACAACATAAGTGAATAAGCAAAAAACCCCACAACTTCGCAGCTGTAACTCTGACCACATATACGTTATTTCTTGTGATACTGTGCTGTAAGGTATGTGACTAAGTCTGTCAGATGTCTATGAGGATATTATCCTAACATGGTGTTTACTCCAGATTAACGCAGTATTTTGTTTGGAAGTATGTAGGTGTACAGATAGAAATAGAATATGAGAGATAAAGTTACTTTTAAAGTTGATGAAACAAGTGTTGGACATTTCTATATTTTTATATATTACAAAGGGCATTTTGAAATTTTTCTTGCAGTTTTAGTAATTATTTAGTGTGGTAATATACATATATTGTGACAATGTTTTCTGCTATATCCATTACTTTGATGTAATTCTATTTTATGTAGCAAATATGTGTATATACAAAGGAGATTATGTAAAAATATGATTAAGAATAGGCTCGAGCCCTTCAGAATGGGGACCGTCTTCCTCTGTGTCTGCAAAGTACTTAATGTCTTGGGGTCCCAGCCACAGCTCACATCAGAGACCTTTGGGGACTGACCAGCCAAATGCTGAGTGTGGCAGAGCGGCTCCTCTGCTTTCCACGAGAAGCCTCAGTACAAAAGGTGCCATGAAGCTCACCTTGCCACTCCCTGGTGCTGGGGGTACGCTCTGCGTGGTCATTCCCAGCGCCACCTGCCAACAAGCCAGAGAGCCCAGAGTCTGCGTGTCTTTTGCTCCCATCCTTCCCTTTGGCAGTAGGAAAGGAAGTCTGAGATGTCATCAGGAAATCTTCCTTGTTAGCAGGGCGATCCTTCCAGAGCTTGTTCGGGCCTCATGCAGCATCCTTTGGAGCCAAACGAATGGTTCATGTTGACTTCAGGGGCCACTGGATGTGTTCTGCAAGATCAAGTTCTTCTGACGTAACAGTTCTATTACACCTGAGGACCTGGTTGGTCAAGTTCTTCAGGAATGGTCTAAAAATACTGTAAAAATATAAATATATTTAATTACATGTACTGAAAAAAAATCCTATTTGTTGTGGTCAGAGTTCAGATTATTATGTGAATTTTGATTTCTTAGTCATACTTGCATATATATTGCTTTGACTATTTGGTATGAAAGAGGAAGTGATTCTAAAGTGTGTGAAAGATCAGGATTACACCTGTTTTTTTAATGGTTATGTTATTTAGGAATGGATGTCAGCAAATTTAACTCCATATTAATGCAGTTTTTTTGCATTAGAATATTTGTGTATATCATACACCCACATTTTATATATAATATATTATATATTTGGTACTAACTTTGTATTTTCCCTGAAATTTTGCCAAATCTCGAACACAGATGTTCTCACTTGTAAGACTTTGGTACTGAGTAACTGAATGTATATGAAACGCTCTGGTATGAAAGGAAAGAGT